AAATAAATTAGTTATATGGACTATCAAAATAAAATATCAACTGCTTTCCAAAAAGGAATGAACTCTCTTGAAAAATTGCCCCTATTTCATTGCTTTTGAGGGTAAGGCAAGGTTATACAAAAACTGCATGAGCTGGTAAGCTTTTAGTATTTGTTTCCAAGACCACTGCTATCAAATCTGTGAAAACAACTTAGTTTCACACATGTCCACAGACCTGCACAGAGAGTTGTAAATTAAAAAGGGGGCAGACTAGAACCTTCTCTACAGTGAAATTATGGTGATTCTGAGCATTGTATAATCACACTGGAAGACAACTGTTTATACATACCCTTTTCTCATCTTCCCACGAGTACTGTGGAAAATTTTACCTCCTCTAATAATCTTGGTTTATTTAAGATTAAAATTAGAAATATATCCTTAGAACTTCCTCTCCTTTCATGTCACTTTTCCATAGAACTGTTCAAAAAAGATAAGGTTTGCCTATAAAAGGACCTTTCAGTGCTATCTGGTTGTGCACAGAACCTGACAGAACTGCCACGGTAAGTCAGGAACATGTTTTCCAAGCCTAATATATCAGAATTTACCTATTTTCCCCCAGAGGTCTAACTGAACTTGAATTAGGCCAATCTTTTAAAAATTTATGTAGCCAGACTCAATCATATTTTTAACTCTCTTTAGATGGTGCTAATCTGGACACTTTTGCTGTTGCTAGGAGTGGTAGTAGGTAAGACAAAATGTTTATAGAATGCTGGAAGAGATTCACTGCTGAATACTTTCAAGAAGGCTTATGATGGCTGAATTCAAGCCACTATGAGGATAAGGAGTACAGCGAGTAAGACGAATGATTAAGACCATAAGCACTCAGAACAGAGTTGCTGGATAAAAGCTAAGACCAGTTAAATTTGGATTTCAGATAAACAACAAATTTGTGGCATACTTATACTAAAAAATATTGATTGTTTATCTGAAACTCAAATTTAACTTGCATTTTTATTTGCTAAATCTAGCAACCCTAGGTTGGAGTCAAGTCTGGGCTTTGAACCCTGGTTCCATCAGCCACAATTGCATTACGTGAGCAAAATTCTTAACCTCTCTCTGCTTCATTATCTTTATCTGTGAAATGGGCATATAATACCACCCCTCTCCTAGGATAATTGTGAGACTTAGATAAGATTCGTCATGTCAATCATCTTGCCCAGCACCTGGCACACAGTAAGATTTTGGGAACACAGCCACACGACACAGCTACTGCTTCCACTCCTACTAGACTTTCTCTTCCCCAAGAACCCTTTCTCTGTGTTGTTCTTTTGTGGGGTAACATTCAAATCTGGAGTTGTGTCAAACCACGGATTTTCTCTTTTATTACTTGTGAGTAGCTTCTTCATTATAGGAATCCAGGATGCCCCTCAAACGTAGGTTAGAGACCTAAATATTCAGCCACGTGGATATATAAAGTTTTGGCATTTGCATGAAACTTAAGCTCTCCACCTAAAGCTCAAAGCCAGAAGATGGCTACAAAGAGTTGAGAGCTCACCCTTCTTCTACCAAGGCCTGGGGATACAAGGCTGCTCCTTTCTTGGGCACAATGGCCCAGCAAAGACATCTGAGTTGAGAGGCAAAAGTAGACCCCAGTATGGGACTGGACACAAACACAAGAGTAGTGAGACATCTTACATGGTGGAAATGAGGAGCAGCGGTTTCTTCAGCTGAGACATTGTCTATTGAAGATATTTTGTGAGTGTGTAACTAGGGAGATGTTTGGGAATATGGAGGAAGAAAATATGCCACAAGATGTAATTTAACTCATATCATATTTTGGCAGAGAAACCATTAAAAAGAGCATTCTGGTTAAACTCATATCCTTGAAACACTTCTGGGTGATTGCAGGAAGCGAAGTTTGCTTTGAGAGACTTGGCTGCTTCAGCGATGAGTCCCCATGGGGAGGAACTTTGCAAAGACCCCTCAAAACATTGCCCTGGTCTCCAGAAGAGGTCAACACCCGCTTCCTCCTGTACACTAACGAGAACCCAAACAACTTTCAAGTAAGAGTGCTCCTCATTTTCAAAACTAAGCACTATCTGTTTTAGGTGGTAAAGATATTGAATTTTAAGTCTTCTAATGAGAACAAATCAGACAGAGAACTTGCATTTTTGTAGACTTTTAGAGCGGTGGGCTTAAGTGTTATTTTGTGTAACCTGTTTATAAGAGGTCCCTTAACTTGGTATTATTCTTATGCTACGTTTATGGTACCATTTAATAAATATTCTAAATATGAATATATATATAATATAAATACA